TTTACTTTGTGTCCCCACAACATGAGTAATCCCAGTCCACAAACACATGCCTTATTTGGTCATCATCTCATCACAAAAGCTCCACAGAAAGCAAAAGGAAAACCTTTAGATTGTGAATTTTTAAAAAAGTGTTTGACATTTTGGGCAAAGGGCTTTTTCACTCGCTGGCAGTTTTGAAGATCAATACCACTTTCATGTCTGGATAGTCGATATACAGCTAGAGCCAGCAGTTGGTTAAAACAGCAAGTGTGTTTCCTTTTGTAGGTAACAACATCCTACCACCTCCACATGAAGTTACTCCCTTTTACTGTTCAAAAGTACTATACTGTATTATTAAACAGTATAGCATTCATATCACTTTTTTTTTTTTTTTTCCCCGCATTAACACTACAATTAATCGGAGACATTTCTATCAGAGGAAAGTGTTACTGGTGCGAAAACTACTACTTTCTGTTCCCCAACCTGCCCTCCTGAGTGGAGCAATCAATACTGACACCAAGGACTAAAGAGCGAGAGCTTCCAGGAAGAAAAAAGAGCTAAAATAAAACTGTGTGCAGAACATATCTGTGTCTTTGTGAGCCACATGTTTCTACCAGCTGTTGATGCCAGTGTTCGATCACCAAACCAAAATGTATATGTCAAAGTGCTGAGAGGAAAATGCTCTCATTTTTCCCTGGTGATTAAAGACACAGTTAAAGCAGCCACTCCACAGTCCTCCTGGGCCGTCTGCGGCACTGGTGGTGCCATAGAGGTTCCCGGTTGGATCCAGTTGGACCAGGAGGAACCCAGGGCATTTCATCCTGGTATCTAACAGAAGTCAAGCTACTGTTGATTAGCATGTGGAGGCCTGTGCTATCCCCCCAAAATATGCCTTTCCATACAATCACTGACTCACTGGTCATACATGATAATGGTGCTAATAGCATAACATTCACCGTGGCATCTGTATAGTCTTTCATGTCTGTCACACATGCTCAGTGTGGACCTGCTCTCTTCTGAGACTGAAGAACCAGAGGCAGATCTCCCAGTTCTGGTGTTCCAGCCAATCACGATGCACGATTCTTATCTGTGAGCACAGGTCCTACTAAAGGACATCATGCCCTTCTTCTGTTCATCCTTGCACAAAAAAGCACATACTGGTCCTGTTGTTGTGTTGTCTTGTTGCCTCCCCACTGCAGCATTTGTCACTTTAATTTGCACCAGAACAGGTGAAATAGATTCACAATGGTTTCTAACTAACTGGACTGACTGATATTCCTGAAGTTTAACTGACTTTGTGTTATACTCTGATAATCAAGTGTTCCCTGAAATGAATCTGAGATAACCACTGAGAGTACATAAAACAGCAGTAGTCCGAGTTTGCTACTTACTTGACATTTGACTTCAGTAAACACTTTGCTGGTGAATTTATGACCTCAATTGCTAGTTTAAAAGTTAGGTTATAAAACACAACCTGGCTCTGATCCCCCAGTCAGAGCCGTTCCTCACTAAGAACATGTGGGTTTAAAATATAACAAAACAAAAAGATGGTTAACAATGTTCAAATCATGGCTTTAAAGCAAGACTTCTCAAACCAAAGGTGCATGTCACAGTCTCATATCCATCATTTATATACAGGCTATGGAGACAACACAGACAAAGCAGCCAGATTTACAATCAAAGTTTTCAGTGTCTACTCATGTAAATCAAAAGAATTGATCCAGAGGCGCTCAGCACATTTACTGACCCTGACGATCTAATTTTAGCCAGATTCAGTGAGCGCTGAAAACCAGCTGGAACATCACAGAGAGCACCTAGAGAGATTTTGGGTTGGCACCTTGGATGGAAGTAATCTTTCTCCCATTATTCCTGGCATTACCGGCCTGGGAATAAGCTACTTATCTTACAAACATCTGCTTTATTGTTCTGATCTGGAAAACCACTGTGACTTAGTGCATAAGTTTCCACTTAACAGCACAGCCCTGAGCTTTTTCAGCCAGTACTTTAAAACTTTACTGTATGCAGGGGTCAAAAAGCTCCCAACGGGAGCTGACTTTCTTACGTGACAATGTTGCATGCTGCAATTACACTATTGTATCCTGCTCCCTAATTCTCCATAATGCCCCTAACAACAGGGTTTCTTGTGAATACATCAATTTGATTTCACAAGGCACTTTGATTT